CACACCCACACCCACACCCACACCCACACCCACACCCACACCCACACCCACACCCACACCATCACCCACACCCACACCCACACCCACACCCACACCCATCCACACTCACATCGACACCCGCACCCACACCCACACCCATCCACACTCATACCCACACCCACACCCACCAACACCCTTTTATTTAGAATTTAATGGGAGGAATACGTCCAGCACCACCTGTCGCTACTTTCAATCAACTAATAATAAATCAACTTCGACATAATAATACAGATTTAGAACAACGATTGGATCAAATAACTCGAGAAATGGAACAATTTCGAGCTCGAAATGAACAACTTGAAACTGAAAATAATGAAATGAAACGTGATTTTCAAATTATTAAATTGAAACTGCAGTTATACGAGCAATATCACAATAACATCAAGGTAAACTGTTCATCGCAACATTTACTAATGTTCACATTTTTCTTTTTTTAGTGTTGGTTGCAAGTATTTTCTTTATGTTCGGGTAGTGTAATATGTTTTTCTTTATTGATCTATTTATTCATGGTCTATGAATTTAACAATTCTTTTCTATTTTTCTTGTACTCATCTATGTTATCTTTTGTTGCAACAATTTATTATTTTTTGTTCATGTGCTTGTCTGTATTTTCTCTTGATGGAGCAATTTTTTTCTTTTACTTATGTATGTCTTCTCGGTGCAATAATCATTATTTTCTTTTTGTATTTATCTATGTATCCTCTTGTTGCAAAAATGAACATTTTCTTGTATTTGTTCATGTATATGATCATGTATCAGACTCATGAAGGGTGTGGATGTGAGTGTGAGTGTGAACATTTCTCTTCTTACACACACCCACATCCACACCCACCCACAAACTCATTTTATTTCATATGATTCTTTCTTCAATCGAGGAAATAAATTAAACAATTCGACATCATTGTGATTCATCAGATTGAAATCAAAATAAACTATTTGCATCTGATGATTCACTTAGGCACGATGCAACAGGAGCAACCGAGGTAGCTGTTCTAATATTTAAAATCACATCTGTCATCTAAAGAAAGAAAAAAGTAATACTAAATTCAACCATCGCCGCCGAACGAGAAAAGGTAACATTCTATGCAGTCACAGCTGTAGAAAGAAAAAAGTAATCATAAATTCAGCAATCGCCGCCGAAAGAAAAAAAAGTAACATTCTATGCAGTCACAGCCGCAGAAAGAAAAAAAAGCCATACTAAATTCAACCATCGCCGCCGAAAGAAAAAAAGTAGCATTCTGTGCAGTCACAGCCGCAGAAAGAAAAAAAAAGTAATATAAATTTTACCATCGTTGACGAAAGGGATAAAAGGTAACATTAAATTTAGCTGTCACTGTCGAAAGAAAAGAAAAGTAAGAGTAAATGCACTCACCATCAGATGAAGAAAAAAGTGCGTTAAATTCATAAGAGTACTTCCCTAACTGCCACATCGGTGTTGAATCAAATGTATGACGAAACGATAGACCTCAATGAATTGTTCTGCTAGTTGGAAAAAATATTATTTCAGAGGAGTAGCGCTATAATTTTCAAGACAGAAAATAGTGAGTTTTATATCAAATGAAAGCTGGTCGACAATTAGGTTTACTAGTACTATATAATAAGAGGCGTGAAAAGTTTCGTATGTTACACTATGAATTTATAAAATTTTTGTAGAATAAAATTGTTATAATCTAATTTCGGTGAATTGCAAGGCAAAGAAAAAAAAGTATTTTCATTGGAAAAATTTAAAAGAGTATTTCTCTAGTGATTGTAAGATATAACTCTGATTCAACAGATATAATTGTCCTTTTGTGTTCGGTTATCTGTTCTCCGTAGTAGCGGCATGTTAAGAAGATATTTTTTTATTTTTCTTCTATTGGAAAGTTATAGAACAGAAAAGTCCAAGTAGTTTGTCAAACAATGTATAAGGTCATTTTCTGATTAATATATTTCATAAAAAGCAATCTATACTTTCGGTTAATCAATCAGGTTCAATTGTTTCGAAATGACTGGTGTCTAGGATACTGAACAACAGAGAATTATCGACAGAATTACATGCATCGCTTTTCGTGACGCTCGTGATGCTGGTGCAACATTTATAAATAAGCATTGGATTGCCGAAAGAGTTCACCGCATGATGCGATTTGTTACAGTATGGCGAAAAAGACCGTGTAATTCATGTTTTGCTGATTATTCAAATGTTGGCGCTAAGCACAAATTATCACAAAAGAGTTAAAACATGCTTCTTAATGCGAGTGATCGACAAAGAAAAAGTTGCTCTCTTGTGAGGAAGAAAATTGCAGCACAACAAAAAGAGTACAGCGTTATAAGAACAATCAATAATATCGTCACAGAGAAGGAATAAAACCGTTCCATGTTATCCCAAAACTTTTAAAATCAGAACTTTATATATCAGATCGATTGTGGCTGTGCGATTGATATAAAAGATTGAACCGAACAGGGCTTTCCCCATTTCGCACCATCTGATGAATTTTATGTCTGGGTTGTTCGCAGACCAAATTATCAGAATGATCGAATTCAGGCAAAAAGTATCGAAGATTTTGAAGAAGATAAAAGATACCGCTAAATGGTAATAAATTATGTATTCAAATTTTTGTCATGTTTACTGCCAAGAGGTTATTTTGGGTGATTAAAGACAAAGGTGCAAAGCTGGGCAAGTACACACTTTCTCGAGTACGAGTACGAGTGCCGACCCCTCGAGTACCATAAACTTCGAGTACAAGTACAAATTTTCTGAGTACAGTGTTAAATAAAAAGTAAAGTGAAAAGTCCTTTTTCTATCTACAACTAGGGATGGGCGACGTGAGAAAACTGAATACCGACTGACACCGACAGTGATGCTCACTGAACACTCGTAAGTCTACTAACACTGATTACAAGAAAATTGAAAGCACTGACACCGATATCACTGGAACAGTGGTGACCATTGCATCACTGATGCACTGACATCATCGTCGTCACTGATGAATGGTTCCCAGTGGCTTCACTGACATGCAGATAGTTTTTTTTCCTATATGTACTTAGTTTTCTATAGCTTTTGTGAAAAATGATCTGAAAGGAGTGTTGAGGTGCATAGGATAGAAATTTTAGAACCATTCTTCCCTCCCGCAGACCGTGACAAAGTATCTCCAGATCCATTACAGACTGTGACAGAGTACTTCCAGATCCATCGCAGATCATGTCAGAGAACCTCCGGTTCCATCACAGACCGCTACAGAGAAACTGTACTTGAGGATGGGTGTCGGTGTAGGTGTGTATGAGTGTGTGTATGAATAACATTTTCAAAAACCTACACCCATAGCCATATCCACCTTTTTTTATTTTGTCCTTCGGTTTTGTTTTATTTATCTAGATATCTGAAAGATACATTTACTTTTTTTTCGCAAACTTGTCTTTCTACAATACTCATTTGTTTTTTTTCTCGAAGAGTTTTTATAAATTATCTATCTAGTTCTTCAACGGATATGCATTATTGTTCTTCACCTTTCTAAAAATATAATCATTGATTTTCTTGAAAAAGGTATGCATCTACTTTTTGATAGTTCTTCGTTTATCTTAAACACATATGTTACATTAGTATATAATAACTACGACATCTCAGTGGAGTCACTGAAATCCGGTTATCAATGGTGCTGATGATGTTAGTGTATCAGTGATCACTGGTGCATAGGTTATCAGTATTTCAGTAACGTCGATGTTAGTGCTTTCAAATGTCACTGACACTGAACCTATCAGTATGCAGTGAGCATCACTGTCGGTGATAACAGTATCAGTTTTTTCAGTAATCTCACTGGCATCGCACATGCCTATGTACAACTTATTTTTAGCTCCTAAGAGTTTTAGTATTGTATGTTTTTCCTCCACGTAGTAGTACATTAGTCACTGCCAAATATTACTCTAAGGTTCTAAAATGTTTAGTGAAAAAATGATATTCATAGCTCTAGGAATTATTATGTATGCGCACATCAATGCATAGAAAGAATATAGCAAGACGGAAAAGTCAAAATTTTATAAAATTTTCGTTTATTGCGAAGCTTCTGGGAAATTAAATTGTAATCAAAGTATATTACATTTGAGCAAAGCAGATAAAAAAGAAGCTTTTTTTCTGATTAATGATACTCGATGTAGATGAATAAAATAGGTATTCTTAGTAAAAGGCGTGTTCCTTAAGAATCGCTCTAGCTGGTATTTTTGAGTATTGCAAGCAAATCAACATATTCATAGGTAAATTTTTTCGAAAAAAGTAAATTATTATCAGAACTCTCTTCATGAAAAAGGGCATTGCGCTCGATTAAAATTTTCGACTTTTCATAGAGTGAACTTTTTCGATTGGTCAAAATGAGGAAAAAGACGCTATCTTTTACTAAATGATCCATTTCTTTTTGGTGTAGCATCACCATCACTTGGTTTATTGGTGTTCGACACATCGGCTCAAATGTTATGGCGCATTCAAAACTATAATTTAGAAAAAGACGGAATAAATCACTAACAATCTTTTCAAGAAAACGTACTTTTATAGGACTATGAAGGTTTAGAAGGAATATTAGTTTGAAATATAACTCAAAAGTAACAAAATCAAAAAGCAAATTACATCTAAACAACTATTCTCATATAGAGATAGAATTGTAAAGTACACCAGTTTCAAAATAAAGAAGTCCACTAAGCTTGTATTTGATTGATGCAATAAGAGTTTCATGTGAAGGCACGAGAATTAGAATAGAAGAGCTAAATTCAAGTTCGAGATCAAAAACGAACATCTAGAACAGTGGGCACAACAAAAGCGGTGCCAGCATATAATTTTCTCTGAATTATTTTAGAAACTTCGTTAAATAATTGAAACAAAGATAAGAAATCTTCAGAAATTTCTTGATCGGTCGATAAGTTTTCATCGATTGGTTCCATTTTCAAACAGAACGCAAACTAAATATTAACAGAAAAAGTTCTATACGTTTTAAACTATACAATATAGAACCATCGAGTATCTCTTTGGATTCCAACTCTCGAGTACTGACCCTGAGTACGAGTACCAGTACGAGTACCGACCTCCAAGTATGAGTACTGACCTCCCCCCCCCCCACCCCCCGAGTACCAGTATGAGTACGTGCAAAATCGTACTCGAGTACGAGTACTTCGAGTATTTTGCCCAGTTCTGCAAAGGTGAATCTTGAACTGGTCAATACATTCGTGAGACACTTTTGATTCAAAATGTATTTCCATTCATAAAAATGCAGAAATTGTTATTGATTCTGATGAAGTTATATTTGTCCATGATAAAGTACCATACATTCGAGTAAATAAGATCCAACATTTGGCTTAAGACAACGACGTTAAGTTTAGGGTAATGACATCTGATCTGAAAATTCTTACGATCTCAATGTGGCGGAACACATTGGAACAGTAATCCAAGATGAAGTTGAAAACAAACATTATCAAAAACTGGGGATAATCGTTAGGGTATAGGTGTGGGATTGTGAGTGTGGGTGGAGTGTGGGTGCAGGTGCCCGTGTAGTGAATTTCTACCCACACTCACATACCCAACACATCTTACCCCCACCCACACAGCACCCACATTAACACCCACTCACACCCACACCCTGTTCATTCATTTTTTAATGTAGATATATTTTTCGGTTTTCAACATTCAGCGAAAAATTCAGCCACCAATCTCTTATCACACTTGAGATATTTACAAAGCAGTATGACTTGTACAAGGACATGTTTCGTAAAAACAACAATCTTTATAGTACAGTTACCTTAAAACATAATTTATCTCCGCTAAAATCTAGTAAAGTATTCGAAAAATTTTGCTCTATATCATAGGCATATAGTGCAATAAAAAGCATTGCTCGGACATTATTTACATCTACTGTCAATTTTTTGCACCAATCGTACGAAAAAATGCATCTCACCCATGAATACACACATATTGTAGTATATAACAATTTTTCCTATACAAGAAATCATTTTTTCTTTTTTCAATTTCATTTTTCAAGCAGGAATCTTCATTATTACCACGAATTTTCATTTTTTGCGCTGAAAAAATATGCCTCCGTATGATATTATGTAAGAATCTTTCCTATGGAAGAAGTCAGTTTTTCATTTTTCATATAGGAGTCTTCAGTATTGCTATAAATCTTCATTTTTCCTCTGAATAAATACATATACACATATCTACGTATAGTAACATGAAACAACTTTTCCTGTAGAAGCAATCATTTTTCACTTTTTTGATTTTATTTTTCATATACCAGTCTTCATTACTGCCATGAATTTTCAATTTTCCGCAGAAAAAAATGTATGTCTCCGTATGATTCTATGTAATAATCTATCCTACACAGCAAACTATTTTTACTTTTCGATTTCATCTTCCATATAGGAAACTTCATTATTACTATGAATTTTCATTTTTTCGCTGAATCAATATATGGGTTAATTGCAACTTTATTGTACCGTAGTATTCTTGAACGTAAAATTTCAATATCTCAAGTTCTACAGAACTGATCCTTGTGATTTTTTTACAATATGTTCTACTAAGAAGTCCTCACTATCACACAAAAAATTACAAGATTATCTTGAATAAGTCCTGAGATATTGGCTGCACAAGACTCAATAGTTCGATTTCTGCTGCCATCTTTTAAACAAAAAGTCGTATAGCCAATTCTTTACTTGTTATTTGAGTTTTGACAGTTCATGATATTTATAATATACAGTCTATACTTCTCGGATATAAAACGCATTGGTTCTTTCGACGTGTTTTTTATTATAGTTTCCTCGAAATATCATGGGTACAGACAACCCTCTATTTTCTGTCTCGCGAGATTAAAATCCATTTTGGTACGCAATGAATAGTCTGATATTGATCGGGCTAGTGTAAAATGAAAGTCAGTTGGCTGTAAATGAAACCGCCAAAGACAATGAGCAAATTGTGCTACTTCTTGCTGAGGAAAAATATGAAATAAAATTTGAAAATTCGGTTGTCACACAAAATGTCACGCGAGATTTTTCGATTTGTTTGGGACATAACTCTCTTATACTATGGCAGATTGCGACAAAATTTTGATCATTTTCTTCACTCATTGTGGTCAAAAATTGGTTAAAATATTTGGATCAGAAAGTTTGTCTTTCGTACAAAAGAGGAAAAATAGTGCAAAAATGTCACGCGAGATTATTATAGGTATAACTGCCTCACAACTAAAGCCAAAGTAGATACATAATATATCACTTGACTTCTATATTTAAGGAGCTATCAACAGTCATGTGAATTAACCCTAGCTTATGTCTTATAGATTAATAAATTCATAGAGGAAAGTCATTAATTATATATATTCTCTAATTAACTGCACATTTACAAATTTTATCACTATATAAATGGAAAAACTAACTATAATTTAGGGTAAATCATGTTGTTTTAGCCACTAATTCTAGATCAAACATAGATCATCATTACAAAGAAAAGGTCCAACCCAAAAACCTAAAAAAACTATCGAAAAATCTACATGAGGTTTTTATTATCAAAGGAATCGTACCTTGAATTTTTAAATAGTATTTAAAAAAAAACGTCATATCTTGAGCAATTTAATAGTAGTAGTTGGGAAATTTATTCATATTCACAGCCCATGTAGTGCTATAGAATGCACTAATCACCGTTGTTAAAATCGAAAATTTTTTTTTCGTTCATTTTTTTCATGGAAAGGTACAATAAAGTTGCAATTCACTCATACACACATATCTATGTATATTAATTGAGTATGAAACAATTTTTCTTATAGAATCAATCACTTTTCATTTTCCGATCTCATTTTTCATATAAAAGTCTTCACTATTGCTCTGAATTTGCATTTTTTCGCGTAATAAAAAATATATCTCCTAATGATACTAGGTAAGAATCTTTCCTATAGACGAAATTTCTTTTTCATTTTTGCATTTCATTTTTTTATATAGGAGTCCTCAGTATTACTGTGAATTTTCATTTTTTCGCTGAATATATATATATATCTACGCATGATACTCTACAACAATTTTTTTCCGTAGACGAGTAATTTTTCCCAGTTTTCGATGTCATTTTTCATATAGGCCTGTTCATTATTACTAAGAATTTTCATTTTCCTGGTGAATCACAACGTGTTTTAGGTAGTAGTTATCTTCGAAGTTCTCTTATAGATGTGAGTTATTTTGCATTATTTGCTTGTATTTATCCTACGGTTTTTATAATTATTCCTATGCATTCGATATTTGAAGGTTGAGAAGCCATTTTGGTAGTTCGAACTTTTTTATAATTTCTTCTCTTGTGGCGTTATGAGGAGAAGCATTTTTGACTTCAAACTCAAAATTCCGCATGGAATTAACATTTTTGACACCAATCGATTCGCTGGCCAACCTTCAAAATCCCTTCAGATGAAAAAAAAAACAATTTTCCATTCCTCCCTAACTGTTTTCAATTTCTTCCTCTGAATGAGGAGAAGGATGAAGAATTTTTTCTTGAAAACTAACCATTTCTACTAGCAATGTCTCTTAACATGAAAAAAAACATTTTCCATTTCTGCTTGTGTATAGGGATATGGATGAAGAATTTCTCTTTGAAGAATAACGACTGCAGTGATGTGATCGAATACAGTTATGGGATTCGTATAAAAAGCGTTTCCTTCTCACTCTATATGGTTTAAGCGTTTCTCCTTGAAGTGGAACCGTTTCTCTTTCAGAGGAGGAAATGGTCCAGCCCTCCTACATCCTTTTATAGATTTTAGAGCAGGCGGCTTTTCAAAGTTAATCAAACCTAATCAATTGTTAATAATAAAGAAACCTGGAAACATAAATCGAGAACTGTAAGCTTTTAGTCATCTTGATAGATGCTCTACGAAAAATGGACAAGGCTTTGAAACTGAAAGTAAATACTCTTTTTTTCGAATTGACGCGACGTCAAATTTCTCAGTGTACACCTTCAGCACTCATTTGAAATGGTATTTCACAAAAGATTTCAAAACGCATAAATTGATTTCGCGTTTGGTCTACATCAAATAGAGCAAGAGTTGATAAAAATAAAATTCTACTCGAATCTTATTCTCAGTGCGTTTTACTTTTCTTCTACTCTCCTTTAATATAACAAGCTGATAAGAATACGGTTCATATCTCGCCTTTTATAATAAACACGATCTTCATTTATTTTATCACAGTAATGATGGTTAAGAAGATTCTTGTTACTGGTGCATCGGGTCTTATAGGCCGCGTATTAACTGAACATCTATCTACAAATCCTAATTATGATATTTATGGCATCGACAGACATACTGCATTATCAATACATTACGAACTTGAAAATACAACATCATCGGAAGAACCAAAACCATTATTGTCAATGAAGGACAGATTTTTCATATGTGACATTAACGATAAAGATAAACTCGCACGCATTATTCAAGATAATAAAATTAATGTCATAATTCATCTGGCAGCAGTTTTAATAGGATCAATTGAACAATATGAGCATGTGAATTGCCATGGTACTCAGATTCTATTTGATATAGCAACTAAGCAAGATCATGTTGAAATGATAATATATGCGAGTTCAGTCAGGACTGTATTCGGTTATTTACAAAATGAACCCTACTCATTATTAGCAAAAAATATTAAACCTCAACAATCATTAAAAAAGATCACAATCAATGATCAACCTAACCCATCAGATGATGATCCTTTAAGTGAAGCATATAGCAAGAGTAAAATATATGGAGAAGCATTAGCTAGACAATATTCATCAGTTGATGGAAATAATGTTAAATTTATTTGTGCAAGATTTGGTTGGATAAATACAACTAATAATATAACATCTCCTTCACACAATTGGGCTGATAAATCATTGTGGTGTAGTTATCGAGATTTATGTCAATTTTTTGATCGTGTATTAGAAAATCAATTGAAACTCAAAAATTTTCAAATCTACTTTGTTTCATCGAATAACGATTTTTGTTGGGTTGATATGGAAAATTCTAGAGAAGACTTAAATTATATACCTTTAGATGGAGCTAAATGGGATTCGTAGTAATCATAGAAAAACTAATGCACTCCGATAACATATTCATTACATTGATCCGAACTATCTCGTTTGTCTGTTGAATATTTTCACTCGAAAGAGAAAGCACCCCGAAGACAATTAAGCTAAAAAAACCGAATAAAATTGATCGAAGTAATTCAAGGTGTGGGATGTGGGTGTGAATGTCAGTGTGGAATATGGGTGTGGGCTTGGGTGGGTGTGGATCAAACAGAGATCCAATCGCACACCGAGTCCACGCCCCTAGTTCTGCCTAATCTAAATGTTCAATTTTCAGGGTGAAAAATTAATTGAATGATTGATTTTATGATAAACAAACAAAAACTTGTAGGATATGTGTAGACGTAGGTGCACTGGTTGACTTAGTATCCACTAACAATCTTACCCCGTGATCATACCCACTTTCGAATATTTTTCTAGAAAAAAAGAAAGAAGAACATAGCTCCTTTAAACAGACGGGCGAAACACAAGTAAAAGAAGAAAACGATAGAAAAACTGAATGTCTGATTTTTACTTAAATTATAATGAAAGAAAAGTAATGACACAAAAGCATATGGCTACATAATTTTTCCATCGAGTTACACATTCTTTAGAAAGACAATTTATGGTCTCTAGAAAATATACAATTCATTGAAACATTCAAAATGAATGTTACCTAGTTGTGTGGATGTAAAAATAGAAATTATGTTCATCTAAATCGACACCTATATCTTTATTGATATGATTTTTGTGTCAGATCAAATCATATTTCAAATACTAAGGATTTAGTTTTGAATCTTAAATTTTTTTTCTGACAGCATCACATCTTCAGTAAAGTGTATTATTGCTCAAGTTGCTGTACCTTGTCGAGTGTAATGTTTCTGTTGGTGATACTTGAAAGGTGTGCATATCTTTATTCTGTTTCTTTTTTCTCATGAAATAATGTTAATAGTCTGTGAAATAGTTGAAGAACAAAAATAAGCATGGTAGTATAAAATACCCTTCATACACCTTTGTAATATCATATCTATAAATAGATAAATAAATGCATCATAACTTCTACAGATATATATCATTTTCTGTCAATATTTATTTCATATTACTTATGATAAATAATGGCTAAATAACTTCAATCGAATTAACTGATCCTAAGTCTAATATTTTTAATGAAGACATAATCAATGAATTTATTAAAAACGAAACTCAACAAAGTTTTCCTGGTGCTGCTATTATCGGAACACGACATGGTAAAATACTGAAACAAACTGTCTATGATTATAAATTAAAATACAATGAAAATGCAACAATAATAAAGCAACCAGAATTACTAACATTAGATACTATGTTTGATTTGACATCGTTAACTAAAATGTATGCAACAAATTATGCTCTTATGCATCTGGTTGAACAAGAAGCATTGAAGATTAATGATCCAATTAAAAAAGAGCTTGTTAGCGCAGCACCTGCGGAGCTGAAATGTGGAACTCACGTATACCTTTAGCTTTGTTACCTGACGCATCATCTGTATACTGAAAGACTTCTCGTCAACTATAGTTGTTTTCCTTGAGAATCGATGAAAAGAG